GCACAAGTTGTGTGTAGACAATTAGGATTTACTTCTATTGGTTAGTTTTGCTTACATTATGGTAATAGGATAATTAATACTATTCTAATTTTTAGGTGCAGATTCTATTAATATTGGAAAAGGTTTTGGTCCTATGCATTCATCATATTTTATCTGCTATGGAATTGAAGCCTCTCTACTAAAATGTCACTATTACACCTCTTCCTGTGGCTATTCATACCATGCTGGAGTTGAATGTGAATGTAAGTGCAATTTGCTTCTGTTGTTATTGTTTATTGTTTAATAATTGTTATTTTATTGTTTATTTATTGTTATTTTATTGTTTATTGATTTGTTGTCCACTTCTCTTATAGCTCCTTGTATTGAGGGGTCTGTTCGATTAGAAGGTGATGATAGATATGAAGAATTTGGTCGAGTTGAAGTATGTATTAATGGAACTTGGGGCACCATTTGTGACAATGGTTGGGATAATAATGATGCCAGTGTAGTATGCAGACAGCTGGGCTACTCTCCTTATGGTAAAACGTTGTGTATTTTTCCTTTCATTATTATTTATAATACATAGGAGCTATAGCTAAAACTTCATATTTTACTGAAAACTGGTTACCTTTTCATCTTTACAGTGTGAATTGTAGTGGTAATGAAAGTACACTGCTTAACTGTTCCTACTCAACTACTGGATCTTGCTACAACACTCAAGATGCTGGTGCTATTTGTCAAGGTTAGGTTTTGACAAATATGATTCATTTTAATGAAAAATTGTAGGTGTTGGTATTGCACATAATAATTGTACTGATTATGCAGTTCGCTTGGTGGATGGAGCAACTACAAAGGAGGGAATAGCTCAAATATGTCTTAATAGGGTCTGGGGTACATTTTGTTCCAAGGAAAATCACTACTTTTATCGTGTGGATGCTAACCTAATCTGTAGAGAGCTTGGATACAATGGTAATCATCCTAGTTTGAGTTACTTTGTTAATTTTTATTAATAAAGGCAGTGGAATGACTTATTTTGTTGAGTCTTCTAGTGTAGATGTTTTGCTGGTAGCTGATATGAGCTGCTCTCAATCTGCTACTAGTATTAAGCAATGCAATCTAACACATTACACTAAGTTATCTAGGTGTGATGCTAGACACACTGCAGCAGTTAGATGCCACAGTATGACCAATGTTTGAGTCTATTTAATTTTGATATTCATTATGGTTAGATTGTACTGAAGGTAGTGTTAGACTGATACCTTATGATTCTTATTTTGAAGATGTTGGACGTGTTGAAGTTTGTGTTGATGGTTCTTGGGGTAGTATATGCTATCATCATTTTACTGACAATGATGCTCAAGTTGTCTGTAAACATTTAGGATACACTGCATTAGGTATGTGTACTTATATTTTCTTAATATAATGTTGACTGGTAGGGTCAATTTCACTGGGAAGACTTCGTTATTATAATGTCATTCCCCTTCACATTGTTAATCTTAATTGTACTGGTAATGAAGAGAGTATATGGGATTGCCCCTCAAGTACACAAGGACAAGAATCCTGCACTGTATACTCTGATGCATCAGCTGCCTGTCATGGTACAATGACCATAATATGTACAATTATTACTCAATCACAGGTTTCGCTGTAGCATATTCTGATTGTGCTAATGGTGAAATACGCTTATCAAATGGAACAAGCAAAATGGAAGGAAGAGTTGAATT